TCGCCGGTGCCGCTTTGCTTGGGAGCACTCGAACTGGCGCCCGGTGAGTACCTGCCTGACCCCGCCGCGCCGCGCTCATCGCGGGGTCCTGGAGGTGTTTCCAGAGTGTTCCTGCGCTGGAGCCCGAGCCTCGTTGTGTCTTGCAAACCTTGTTGGGACTCTTACCACCCTAAACGGGCTGATACGTGGCCTGCCAAGGGGGACGTGTACTCGTGCTGGTGCCGTACTCTCACGCCCCCTGATAATCCTTAAAATGGGAGTCTGCTTTCAAAAGACGTTGGAGAAGTCCCTGGGGACTGGGTCAGGCGGTGATCCCTACGGGAGAAGACAGTCTTTTATTCCTCCAGCACTGGGATGGTAACTGCGGCCCTCCTGCGCCTGTTACTGTACAGGCTAAGAGTGGTTTTTACATTTTTTAATGGCTTGAAAGAAATCAAAAGAGGCAGGTTTTGTGGCACGTGAAAATTATATGAAATTCAATTTTCAGTGTCCATAAAGTTTTATTAGAACACAGGCGCGCTCATGTATTGTCTGCGGGAGCGCTTACTTCCTAACACTTGAGCAGTTGCCCACGAAGCCAAAAACATTTACAGTCAAGCACTTGGCAGAGCAAGTTTGCCCACCCCACACCTAGCAGATTGAATCTCCAATGGGAGCCAGAGGCTGGAGCATACAAGAAACGCAGCATGCGGTAAGTTAGAAATAGTACAGGCAGTATTATAAATCAGTCGTTATGTTTGGGGGAAGAAAGATGGAAAAGAAAAAACTTTACCTGAGCATCTATGTAAAATGAAGCTTCGAAGTTTCCACTAGGGGTTAGTGAGTGATTCCAAGAGAAAGGGGCATGGATTGCATATTCGGAAACTCTAGCCTAGAGATTTCTGTTTACCAAAAGGGAGCAAAGTTTAAAGGTTAGTAGGAAATGTGCTGGCTTCGGCAGCACATATACTAAAATTGGAACGATGCAGAGAAGATTCGCATGGCCCCCTGCGCACGGATGACACGCAAATTCGTGAAGCGTTCCATATGAAAAAAAAAAAAGACTAGTAGGAAAAGACTTCCCTGTCACATTGAAGGTAATCAACATGTTGAGTAAAATGAGTGAGAAGTCCTGAAATATTTCACTCTTAGAAATACCAGGCTGCTCTTTTTAGACACATCGAAAAGCATTTCCTTGGCTTGTCATCCATTTGGACTAAGGGCTTGATATTTTCTTTACAATCTGCTGATTCTGCACATGCCACCTCTGACCATTTTACAGTTTAGAATCCAAAATGTACCATATTTAGTAGTGAAATAATTTAAATATGGTAAGCACATACCAGTTATGGGAAAAAAGGACTCAACAACATATTTTACTTCGGGTTAAAAAAAGTATAAAAAAATTAAAATTACTCATTTTGGATTTACTCTTTGCTGTCTTAATCTGCTCTCCTTCCCCTGGACAAATTCTGTCTGCTAACGAGGAAAGCCTTGCACTTATTGGGAGAATAAAGTACAGTTGACCCTTAAACAACACAGATTTGAACTGCGTGGGTTTATTTATACTCATAATTCTTTCACTAAATTTTTACTGCAGTTAGACACGATCCAAGGCTGGTTGAATGTGACCATTCAGAACCGTGGATACAGAGGGCCAAGTGTAAAGTTATATGTGGATTTTGGACTGTGAAGAGGTCGACACCCCTAACCCCCAAGTTGTTCAAAGGTCAGCTGTACATATGTATCTCATGATACTGGAAGTGGTGTGTATACCTAGTAATCAGATACCCCTGGACTGATGAGGCTGGAAAGTCCAAATGGTTGTCTCTCTGAAGACATCCAGTGATTTGCAGTTTGTAGGTGATGGAGCTTGTGTTTGCTTCACTGGAGTCTGCTGCTGTGTATATTTGGGACCTGACAACTCGATTGTAAGCTGTTTTGTTGTTGTTGTTATTTAAGATCTTTTTAACAGTTTGTTATTTAGAATAATTTTTCTCCTTATTTTTTAATATCTTTATTGTGGTAGATTGCAAGTTTTTTTAAATGTGATTTTAAAATATTCTTAAAGAAGAAAACAGGTAGTGAGATAATAGAACATGGTGTAGAAATGGGCAATGCCAGGCCTGAACCTGGAGTTCATCTGAAACTGCCCTGTGCATGCAACGGTTTTTGAAATAAATAAATCGCTTCTGGGATTGCTACACCACCACCACTTCCAGCCACTCAGCCCAGCCATAGGTATTGCCTCATCTTTTCTCTTTCTTTCCCTGTTCTGTCCACCACAGTGTCACTTGTTCATTGCTAATGGACTGTGCCCAAAATTTACTCACACACTGTCATGGACAGGCTAAGACTGCTAACTGATATAGAAGTGAGGGTTCCTATATTGGTAAAATCTGGCACTTGACTGTGGGAGTTCCCTCTTGAGCCCAGGGGATTTTATAAGTAGGTTCTTGACTCCTCCTTACTGTTGGTTTCTGAATTATTAGAATTTCCACCCAGATAATCCCCTCAAGCCTATTTCCAGCACCACAACAACACTTCCTTATTATTTACTTGTTATATAATTGATGCATCCTCCTATGTATGCACAGATGTGGCAAGAATCACAGGGGACAAGTAGTCCTTGCCACTCAGTGGAGACAGCAAACATACACCCCATCAATAATACATCAATAAAAATGACATCAATTATATATGAGAGCCTCACATTGAAGCCCACCCACGTGCACCATCCTTTCTTTGCTCTTGGTAATAAAGTGCTTTTTAGCAGCTTAGAAAGATGGAAAGAAGTTAACTCACTTGGTTTAGTCTTGTTTCTAGCTTTTCCTTTTATCATTAGTGTGATCTTGGGAAAGTGAGTCCATTGTCTGGGCCAGTCTCAACTTCTACAAAATGAAGGGGTGGACAAAATGATCTCTAAGGCTGTATTCCTGCAGGTTTGAGTATTTATGTTCTGACAGATTATCCAAAAGTAGGCAGGGTGGGAACAAGGAGTAACAAAGTTTTATGAATGTTTTTTCTTATTTTGCCAAATGAGAACATCAATCTATGACTACCTACTGCCAACATAATTTCATAGGAGAAAGGACATTTATCACCAAAAAATGTAAGAAAGCTGCCATCTCAGGGTAAAAGGCAGCCTTTTCCTTCCTAAAAAAGAGTAATTGGCAGCCTTGCATTGACATATTAAAAATAATAATAGGGTAATATGTAATTCAAAAGTAGAAAAATTATAACATAAAAATTTATTTTTCAGTACGCATTGTATCAGTTGTTCCCTTGATACACTCTGGCAATTTGAATGGAGATATATGTGCAACCAGTACAACTCCTGGTGAAACTCAGATGTCCAACTTGATCTGCTATTTTATTTTTTATCACAGTCATTGTTGAATTCATGTCGCATAGAGGCTAGTAAATGAAAGTGTAACCAAACCTTAAAAAATTGCATTCAATTTGAAATATAATCATTCCTCGGTATGGGGGTGTCCAGGACCAGTTCCAAGACAACACCCCACCTCCACCCCAGGGATACCAAAATCCACAGATGCTCAAGTCCCTTATATAAAATGGCAAAGTATTTGCATGTAACCTAAACACATTCTCCTGTGTACTTTAAATCATCTCTAGATTACTTATAATCCCTGATACAATGTAAATACTATGTAAATGGTTGTAAATACAGTGTAAATGGTGTATATAAATTGTTGCCGTACAGCAAATTCAAGTTTTGCTTTTTTGGAACTTTCTGGAAGTTTTTTTCCCGAATATTATCAAACAACTGTTGGTTGACTCCGCAGATGCAGAACCCTTGGACAGGGAGGGCCAACTATGTTTTGGGGAAACTGAGAAGAAGCCTCCCCACAAGGGGAGCCTGGACACAAGTCTGGGATAGAAATTGGGAGGGCCGCTGTGAGCTTTCCACCGAGCCACCACTCACCTGAATGGCACAGCTTAGGTCCCTAATCACCCCACCAGAGCAGTCAGCAATAAAGAGCAGCATCAGTCAAGGGCAACCTTGTGGAACCACGATAAGTTTCCCTGCAGCTGAACTTCACCTTAAAGAGAGGACAGTGGTCCTTGGAATATCTGCAAAACTGCTTTGGGGAACCCTAGGGGGCCGTGTGTGAAACTGCCCTCCACCCTCCAGACCGGGGGTCAGCAGGCAGTGGCCTGCAGCTAAAACCTGGCCCTGTATCCTGACACTCACAGTTCTTTGTGGCAGGGAACACTCATTGTGAAATCTAGGAAGGGAAATGGTATCCCAATAAAATAGGAATTCCATTCTTCTCATTCATAGATATGCATTATGAAAAAAAAAATTGTGCTCAAGATCATGTTTTGACTTTTATCAAAAAGTTTGTAGAAATTTATTTTCTCTTATTATATAAGTACCTACATGATAACCTCAATTTTTGCCTCTTGGCCCGCAAAGCGTCAAATATTTACTGGCTGGCCCATTTCTGAAAAAGTTGGTATACCTTAGCCCTAGGGTGAGGAAATAGTACCCTTAAAGGGAATTAAGTACCTCTTGCCTCTGACTCGCAGTGACTTTCTCCCCATTTCAGAAGGGGAGAGGGAGAGGCCAGCTCTGCCGGTTCCCTGTCTTGGGAATAACGGATCATCCCTGGGAGACGGAATATTGCAGATAACAGACCACCTGGTCGAGGGGAGCGGGAAGTTTTGTAGTGTGCCCTGTGGCTCAGCAACTCTTCTGCCCTTGAAAACAGACATTCAAGGTCAAGGGTGTATGCTTGACCCTGGGAACCCTTTCAGTTCCCTTGACTTCAGCTCACAAGCCCTGAGCACAGCCCAGTGTTGGTACCTAGAAGGAGAGTGAAGCTCTCCCACGGAATGTGTGTAATCCAGTGATGGGGTGTCCCAGAGATCGCTGTCACCTTTCCCCATCAGCTGGCCCTCCTAAGTTAGGGCTTTCTTTTGCCGCTTTAGACATCTAAGTGATATGCATTCGATTTTTTTTTTTAAATTTTAGGAAGACGTGATTTTCAAAGCTAACTATGAAAACATTTGTCATTGGAATCAGTGGGTGAGTAATTTTGCTACAAACAGCTGGCTGAGATACTCAGAATGTCCAAAGGGTGTTGCCACGTGGTCATGGTGAGGGAAGGAGAGCAGTGAGGACTCCTGAGTCCCAGAGCCGCCACTGTCAAATTTAAAACAGTGGCGCGTTGGCTACACAAGTGCCAACAGGAGGTGGGAGAATTTCCTATAAACTGAGAAATAGAGTCAGTAAACAGAGTTTACCTGCTTTACCATTTGTTTTCTGAAGCTGACACCAAAGGCAGGGCCTGATCAGATGCTACTTTGGTTCGGGGTACTTTCTCATTCTCCGTGTGGCTCTTCCAGTATGACACAGAAGAAAATCTATCATTTCTTTCCTGCTATGCCCAACTTTGGACCTGTGGAATAAGGAATCACTCCATCTCTACTCCTTTTTCCCCACACTTAGGGTGACCTTTTATCTTGAGCTATTGCCCTGGCATACTTATTAATGATTTGCCCCTTTCCCTCTGAAAAGTATTCTAAATTATATGGTCACCCTACTTGTGGTACCAGAGGTGGACGGACATTCAAATGAGACAGCAACGACTCCGAAGGACATGCTTTGTTTTGCTAGTGTATTGTGTTCACCTTTCCTCTGAGTACTTTCACATGTGTAGTCTAGTTCGTAAAATATTTGAGACTGTTGAAATTAAAGGTTTGTAATTTGGCGGAGATCATTGTAATAATGCATCACATTACTATAGTATGTAATCAGTTAGAAATAAAATTGAATGAATGAAATGTCAGAACTCTGCCTCAACTTGCTCCCATCTAATCAGAACCACAGTTCAGTTTTTCCCTACATTATTTCTTTTGTCCATCCCTTCCTCCTCACTCACTGCCACCATCCTAATTCAAGCCCTCATTCCTTAATTCCAGTCTCTCCCTCATAATCTTTCCTACATACTTCTGCCAGTTTCATCTTCATACAGATTTTAAGTTATCCTCTCACCTGATGAACAATATTTAGTGGTTCCTAATTATTTAAAATAGAATCTAAATTTCCTGATACATGAGGATCATCTAAAAATAATAGAAGAAATGTATTAGCTTTGGAGGCTGCAGGCTGCAGGAAAGATTTGGTAAAGGATCTTAGTGGTGTCACCAAAGATTCAGTTTCTCTCTGCCTCTTCTCTGTGTCTTCGTCCATTTGAATTCATCCTAAAGTTGGCTCCACTTTTTGGTCACAAGGCCCTACCAGCAGCTCCTGGGACCTCGTGCTTCTTCTTAGCCTGTCAATAGGGGAGAGAAGTGCTTCTCTTCCTTTAGGTCATTGGTCTCTCTTTGACTGGACCAGCTGTGTGGCATACCCACAGTCACTGGGGCAAAAGCAACAGGATTCCCTTAGTTGCTTTAGGTCAGTTGGACTCTGCTCTGGAGTTGAGAGTGGGGTCAGTTCCAACCAGACCTTGGAAACAGTAGTAGGACCTGGGTACTCAACTACAAAGTCCACTACAGGGTCCAGTGCAGCTTTCATTCTGCACATGTGTGAATGCGTTCCCCTTGTCTCAGTATTCCGGTGCAGTGCCTTCTGTCTCAAAACCGGCCTCATGCTTTTTTGCCACATGCATTTGGTTCTACTCATAACTTCCTGAGAAAGTCTCTTTACCATCTCTTCCTCAGCAAGTGCCAGGATTTCATTTTAGTGCTGCTGCTGCTGCTTCTGTGAAGCCCCTGCCAGACTCAGCAGCAGTTCCTGGCTTCCTTCCTCCAAACTCACTGTGCTGTGTCTCTCCCCTGTGCCTGTCACTTGCTGCCCTGTGAATGAATCATTCAGTTGAGACTGCAGGGAATAGTAAGTGTTCTAAAGGATTCAGGGGGCATCTGTGAGCCTTCTGAAAACTTAGTGCACGTGTGAAGATGTTCATTTTTCTGGGGAAGCCTTCATCAGATTCTCACAAATTTCCATAATGTTAAAAAACGTAAGCTCCATGGGCACTGGAGTGAGACTTTGCATCTTACCTCTACTACTTGCTAGTTGTTACCTTGGGCAAGTTTTATGAGCACTCAGCTTTTCAGTCTTTAGTTTCCTTGACTGGACAGTGGGAACATTGTTGTCTAACTTTTGTGGAATAAATTCTCCACTTGTTGGAATAATCACAGACAGCCTTTTTAACTTCTTCCTAGCCAAATACCACATTCCAAATACAATACCCACTCTTGTCACCTGTTATGTTAAAGAAACAAATGGATTAGGAGCGGTGCATTTATTTGGGCGTTGTCAACAAAGAAGGAAGTGAGCCCATGGAGTCGCCCATCTCCTTCCCCAGATCCTAGGAAAGAAAGTGCTTCTGTCTCCCCCAGGGTTGGGGAGCACGTGCAGGAGGTCGCAAGCCTGCCAGTGCCTGGTGGCTGTGAGCATGCTGAAGGAGAAATCTTGAGTCTTAAGGTATCACCTGACCAGGAGGGTTGCATTCTAATTATAGGTCTTAGATGTGTTAAATACTTTTCCCCCTCCCTCAGCCCTCTGACCTGGACTGCCTTCTAGCTGGTTCATGTCCTCCAAGTCTACAGAAATGGGGTGCTTATTTCTCACTGGCTGCATGCAGCTCAGTCAGTGAGAAGGGATCTAATTACTATTGGTTTAAATGCATGATCTTGACTAAAGAGGTGACACATTTTCTAGCCAGATTGTTCATACTGTAATAAAGTTACCCCTGTTTACTATGTATTTTAAACCAAAACTCAGTAAATGAACTATGGGCATTGAGTATAGATTACAGACATTTTTGTTAGAAGAGGGAAAA